CCCACAAGTAAAGCATCCACTGCTGCCTTTCCTACACTCCCCAAAATGCCTATTATTACATCTGCGGCACAAATGAGCACTTCCTTTTCCAACATCTCCCTACCTCTGGAACCTAGGACCTCTTGAAAATCTACCACCTCTCCTCTGACCAGTGGCACTAAAACCTCCGCTAGAAGAACTGGAACTAGTTCCACCCCTTTTAAAGCTCTGAGTCTTGCGAGGTCCTTTAGAAGACTAACCTTTACCTTTGTCATCTAGCCTCTAATTCCCATTCTTTTCTTCTTCATCTTCACTTTCACTAGGCATATTTTCTGAGTCCTCAATCGTCAACAAAATTTCATAAAACTCCTGGTAAGTGGCACAAGGAGTCAAGGTTGCTATAGAACGCCATTTCTTCTTTATACCCAATCTGAAGCGACGGAGCATCTCAACCGGATTAGCAACAACCTCCGGATGATAACGAGACAAATAAGTGAATCTCCGATAATACTCATTAGTAGTCATCTTCCCCTGCTTTAATTGAGTAAACTCTTACTTTTTGCGATCAATATACTCAGAGGGAATAAACCTTTTCTGAAACAACTGTTTAAACGATTCCCAGTCTGCAATTTCCTCTGGGGTCAACTGATAAGACTCATGTCTCCACCAAGATGCAGGTTCCGAACCCAAAAGCCAGGTAGTCGTCTCGACCCACCTATCATGAGAAAGATTCCCTTGACTCTACATTACACGAAAAGTCTTCTCAATATGATTAATCCATTTCTCCGCTCCTTCATGTCCTTCAATCCCCACAAAATGATTCAACTTACAGTCTCAAAAAGTGTCTTTTGGGGAGGACAGAGCGAAGATTGAATAGCATTAGCTATAGTTTTCCCTAACTGAGCTATATCAGGGAAACTAGGCTCAACAGAAGGACGTGGATTTCTACGAGCAAGCATAGTTCTGACAGAAGACATCAAAATAATTAGAAATTCTCAAGATATGCAGGACTGCAAACTTAATGCTATGATACCAAATTATCACATCCCGGCCCGAGCCCCCACCATATCCAGGGCTCGACTCCACCGTAGCACGATATTGTCCGCTTTGGGCCTCAACTACGCCCTTACGGTTTTGTTTCTGGGAACTCATGCGAGCAGAACTTCACAATGGGTCACCCATCTTGGGAATGCTCTGGCCCCGTTCTCGCTTAACTTCAAAGTTCCGATGAAACCTGAAGCCAGTAAGCTCCCAAAATCCCTTGTGCTAGGTAGAGATGGAAATATACATATAAGGCTTAGAGGATCCACTCCCCTAGGCGATGTGGGATGTTACAATCCACTCCCTTTAGGGGCCCGACGTCCTCGTCGGCACACTTCCAGCCAAGGATTGGCTCTGATACCAAACTGACACACCCCAACCTAAATCAGGGCATGCTGGCCGTCACGTGGGTGTGATATAACCATGTGCACAATGTTGAAGCAATAAAGATATAAAACTAGATTACTAGCAGTACTAGCTAAGATAAGGTGTAAGTGCGAGATTAAATTTGAAATACACTACCAGAGCATAAATAGCCTAAATGCAGTCAAGAACGATAAGTACTAATTATACAACACCCACAGGTGATCTTACATTTATGATGTTCTGTCAGAACCACCGTCGAAATCCCCGTGAGCCACCAAAGCACTGCTACCTAAAACCTGGAGGGGCGCAAAACAGAAAGTGTGAGTGGGCAAAAACAAAGTTTTTCAAAATCATTTCATTTCTCAAAAGTTCTAACCCCTCGCCATAAAACCTGTATAATTTCCCAGAAAATAATAATAATAATAAGTTGTATCAGAAATCATACTCAAGATGAAAATCCATAGAAGTATACCATGCCAAATTATTTCAATGCAATGCTATAAGTAATCCAGGCAAAATATAACAATGCCAAATATCGCATCAACCAAATCCCTCTAACTCAATCTGCACGACTGAATATATAGCTCATAACCAATCTCAATCATATCAACATCAAATCAAATCCTGCACACGAGTCGGAACCACCTAAAGTGGTCTGTACGACAGGATTAGGTGTAATATAAATATGCTCTAGTGCTACAATCACGTGAAGGCTGTGCGAATAATCGCGAGTCACCTACGAGTCGGAACCACCTAAAGTCGTCTGTACGACAAGCCTGCGCACCTAACTTGGATCCAAGGTGAGCATATGGTGCGGGAGGTGAACATCACGTGAAGGACTGTGCCCTAACTCTGGGTGGGAGCACTAACACCGGGGTGTGGGTTTATGAGCTCTCAATACATTACATCATACCACACATAACTGAAGTAACCTCATCTCTTTTATTTGTGAACTTACCTGGCACTTACATGTGCATCCGCAGCACCAATCATAAATATATACAACTACTAATGCATACTAAAATAGATAGATACTTCGCATGGCAATTCAAAACGTAATTTCATTCAAATTCATTTTCTAGGAAAAATCAAGTATATAGGTATATACGGAAAAACCAAAAGCCCACTCACTGATATGTCGAAGGGTCGTAGCCCCCGAGCCTCGATTAATGGCGCTCGTCCTCAGAATAGGTCTCACTTATATGTGAAATAACTGAATAAACGTTATTTAAAGCACATACACAAAACTAGGAAATAACTTCTCATACAATGCTCAAATAGGGTATTTGAATATACCACCATGACCTACTTAACCTCAGGAACATCCCCATATTTTTAGAAAAAATTTCCAACCACCCACGCGCCTTTAGGGAATATTCCATTAAAAAGTAGCATATGCCGTTCAAGTTACCTGACGGTGTCAGAATATTCCGTCAACTTTGACAGAATATTCTCCTCCTTCTTCCTTGGATCCCCGAAGATCGTCACCGGCGCCGCTGCGATCGTCGATTTCTAGAAAAATATACAAACCTTCATATCTTCTTCATTTTTGCACCAAAATCCATGAAATTTGTACCAAAATGAAGCTTACAACGAGAAGAACAAAACCTTACCAATTTCAAGCCCTAAAATCCATGGAATCTCGCCGGAGAAACCTCGATAATCCGGCCAAACTTGAAACTTGTCAAACTCAACTTCCCAACATCCAATTCACTTCGTTTTTCTTCTCCGAGCTTCGTGAAGATGTCCTAAAGCTCACTAGTAGCTTAAAATCTTCTAAAAATCTCACATTCACGATTGAATGAACAATGCTCAAATCGGAGATTATGGTTTCTCGGGTTTTCGAGGGTTTCACGTCCAAATAATAGTATCAATGGGTTCCTGGGCTGGCAAGGAACTTGAAAATGGTCTCCATAACCTCAATCTGTGAAGAAATGGTTTGGTTGAGGTTCATCCGTACGTATTGTATGGAAATGGAGAAAAACTAAGAGGGAAGAGAGAGAAAGGGAGTCAACAGGAGGGAGAGAGTGTGTGAGTGTGTGTGTGGTCCAAATTTTCTTACAACCAACCTAAAACAATTAGAACCTTTAGTTCTAATTGGGTTCAAAAGGTTCGGAAGAAAATAAGTAAACTCAATTGTTTAATTTCTTAGCTTATTTACACAACCCACAAATCAACTCTCAATGGTAGAATCGACATTCCACGCCATCAAAAAAAATATCTCGAAACAGGCTGTCACATAGACTGTTTTTTAACTTAGCTTAAATCCGTCATCCCTTATTGTAATATATTATTATATAAAAAATAAGAAGACAAACAGGAGACATAAGGCCTGACCCCCAACTACAATCTTTATCTATAAATGCGTCTTGAATATTATTAGGAGGCATCTCAAACAATTAAAATAAACAAGCATAAGTTAAAACAAACCGAGCTAACGTATCATTTCAATTAATTTATGAGTGATCAAATTGGTTTTGAAATAAAAGAAATGTATTCTTAAGTTATAATCCACAAGATGTTTACGTAAGTAAACCCAAACATGATACGATTACATGTATTAAGTTAGTTTTGAGTTATATTACATGATTAATTAAACATGGTAGATTAATCAAGTTGACAAATATTTGACACGGATACAAGCTCGTTTGGTTCAAAAATGACCTCAATTGATGCCATATTTACTTTATTGTGGAATCTTTACAAACAAAAAGAAATTGAGTAAGACTTATGTTGATTTAACAATAATAAACGTCCCTATCCATAGCTTTTCGACCAAACTCAACCTCAAATCAAACTTTTCGTATGAGATTTTGGTATGCTATCCAATATTGTTTTTATGCTAAATGATAAAATTGTTCATTGTCTGATTAGGAGAGTATCCTTTTGAGAAGATTTAGTGGTCCATTTTATATATGTATTTATTAAATACAAATTGCGCCTTATCTAATTGACCTTATTTTAAAGATTAATGTCTCAGCACGCGATTTCCTTTTGGTTCACGCACTGCTCAGTGATTTGACAAGATTTTTAAAATACTTGTGTTACTCATGTTTATGTTTAAAAGCGCTTTCAGTTGCAGTGTTTTGTTAGAAATATTAAGAAATTTGTAATAAAATGTAACGTATGGTGGTAAAAATTTGTCGTCTTTTAGTTTTGACAAATTTGTACTTACAAAACAATTAACACTTATCTACTCCAGGCAACTCACCCGTGGAAGATTCAGTGTTCTCGGAAGAGACAAACATAGGCTTATCTTCTTGTTGTCACCAATATTGTCAATCTTCCTTGCACAAGATTTTACATAAATTATAATATGCTTTAGCGGAATTCTTTCTTCTGGTGTTGGATGTGTGGATTGTTGACTTCAGTTTGGTGCCATTTTAAAAACTCAAATCTCATTTTTCTTTGTTAAATGCTTGGCATCACAAAAGATAAACATGTTTGCATATCGAATGCTCTTAAGAACTAAGTTAAGATTTGAGATTAAGTTGAGATTTGAGGACCTCCAAGAACTAAGTCTGACGAACGGACTATGAGCTTTATCAAAAAACCAAAGAAAAATACAACCATACAAATTAAGAGAATACTAAATTTTTTTATGCTTGAAAATAAAACAACTATGTTGCGTTGGTTGATACTTGATAATAAACTTTGCTACATACTAAAATTCTTGATTATCTCGCCCAATATTTCTTTTGTAATGCACGTCAATGTTTGCACATTTAACAAAAGCTGAGAAAATGAACCTTAAATTTGTAATTTGCAATTTGTAATGCCAAGATGTTTCGATTACAGAGATGTTTACATGAACCCTAAATATGTGTTGCACCATTTTCATCCACTATAAACTCAGAAATTGAGTCGGCTGCGGTAGGGTTGAGCGATAAACTCAATTCGAAAAATGTTCATAATCGAAGAGAAATACAATACATAATGGTAAAGTGGGTATGCTTTGGATACTCCCCTAATTTGGGCATAACTTACCTACAAACGTTTCATTTTCGATAATTTACGCAATCCAATACCTTGAACAGACTTCTAGAATCTAGACTTCAACATAAACTTGGTCAAGAGATCTGCAAGGTTGTCTTCGGAATCGGATTTACTTGACAGCGCACCCAAAGCAAAGTCGATGAACATGAACCATCAAATTTAACCCAACAATAGATTTGTAAAGAGGCCTAAAAAAAAGAAGAAACATCAAGCGCTTTTCATTTTTCTTTTATAATGATATCAGGAAAAGGAAAGAAATGAAGGGTGTGGGGGAATATGAAGAGCATGTACTCTGACTCCGGAATCGGATGAGTTACTCAAGCCATTCTCGCTCTTCATTGGATGATCCACAAACATTCTCTTCCTTTCTGACTGATGTGAAGAAATACGACTTATCATTGTTTCTCTCATTGATTGCAGACAACCAGGCACCTACAACGTGGGATGAATTATTACAACCACAACTATATATGGGAAACAAATTGCTACGCGTAAAACCAAATTGAGCTGCAACTCACCCCTGGCAGGTTCAATGGGGTTGTTGTCGGGAATATTGTCAATCCTCCTTGCAGATTTCATGAGAATTATATTCTGCTTCGGTGGACTGGTATTGCATGTGGATTGTTCGCAGCTTCTGCTTGTGCCATTTCGAAAACATTTGTCCAAAAACATCAGTACAAGATGGACAAGGGGAAAAAAAATTTGTCCAAGAACCATATCACAAATTTCCCAATATAAACCGTAATCAATATCAACTCTGCATCTATGAATGTTCAAACTTATCTTCACAGATCAAATACTAAAATAGGCACATGGTAACCCCCAAAATAGAAGGAAAGATCACACCCTTCGGATAACTCCCACTACCACTGTTCTCTGCCAAATTTCAAACAATACTCACCCACAAAATAGATGACAACATCAAACATAAGAAAGGAAATGAAACACACAAAAATTGTAGGTTCAAGTATTTCACAATAGCATAACACACCAGACGAGTATCAAATAGGGTCAAAATCAATCAAAAGGGGGAAACTGAAGGCAGGACATCATATACACAAATACAAAAGCAGGCACATGCCTATTTGTATATTTAGTGGAGGAGAACATACTGTATAATTAACCCCCAGAAACAGATAGAAAAACGTACCCTGAGAATTTTCATTCTCGAAAGAGATTTTATCCCCATGTTCTTGCTCTTCATTTGATCCACAAACATTCTCTCCCCCACCGTAGGTAATGTGCAGAAATCCATCTTTGCCCTCATTTTGCTCATCGATTTCATAAAACAAAGCACCTGTAACATTGCATAAATTATTACAACCTTAACTTTTGGAACATTTGGAACAACATACAATGCATAAAAGAAAAAATGAGCTACCACTCACCAACGGGAGGTTTAGTGTTCTTGAAAGAGACAAATATTGGCCTTTTTTTGCTTATCCTGATGCTAACCCGAATGAATAAGATGAATTCTCCAAGAGTCATATTACCGGGGACATGGTATCTGCAGTCAAAAACAAGATAGGCAATGCTGCTATGTTAGAACCCCTTTCATTTGAGACAAGCTATGAACACAAATGAACTTTCAATTTACCTATGCAGCAATCAATACATTTTCCTTTCAGTATGAAAATTCTATGGACTGATATGGAATGAAAATTACATGGTAGGAAGCTATCGCTAATTTGGTAACCAATTCTTGCAAACACTCCATTTTCCTGTCACTTCTCTGGCTTCAAGATTGTTGAAGTGAACGTCATGTATTTACACCCCATTTTCAATTTTATTGAAGTGAAATTAGACTGAAGTTTGCCAAACTGTTTTAGAAACATGATCATGACAAAAGCGAGCACACGTTACGTTTCATCTTAGTCAAGTGTCTTATTTAGGCAAGCACACAAGTGGTTAACTAACCATTGGAAGCGATTAACAAACCAAAGGGAATGAAGAACTAGTGGTCTTGCTGTCTTGCGAAGTGGGGAACTAAGCCTAAACAAAACGTTGTTTAAAGAAGCCACTTTTATTAGCAAGTCTAAAAGAGATAAAGTAGTAAACAATGCACAGAGAGAGATACAACAAACTAGAGATAAGGTAACACGAATGAAACAAGTCCAAATGTCCAACTGTATCAACAATTTTGTTAAAATAGTAGGTTTTAGCTGCAAACTGACCAATTCACTGGGTAAAGGACAATGCCAGGAAACTAATTTCCAATGTCAAAACCAGAAGAACCTTCAACACTTTGTCCTGTTAAAATCAGCAACGAAATGTTAATAAGAGATTCTTTGACTAATGACTATGTAGAAAAAATGATAACGGTACCAACTACCAAGTATACCACATAGACAGCTGCAAACAATCCATCACCGACGCCGACACTACGGAAAGCGCTCAGAGTAGACACTTGAGGGTGTTTGGCAAGAGCTACATTCTCCACCGGCACCGGAAGAGTTCCAATGCCACCAATCTCGTACACATCCTGTAGGGAGCCTGAAGAAGTCCAATGTAGTAGTCAATGCTGGTGGACCTATCAATCTCAAACCCAGAGATAGGAACAAATGCGATTTTCTTCATGTAGGATGAGAATTCCTTTACAATTCTTTCGTACGTTGCATCCATCTACAAACAAACAATTAAATTCCGTAAATCAAGATGAAGAAAAGCAGCTTCACAAACAGATTACAGAAATGATCGATTCATAATCACCAAGAATATAGAAATTAGGAAATTCAAACCTCGTTCTTCGAGTAGGATGAGACTTCCTTCACAATTCCATGTATCTGGTTGAGAATTCCATGGTTGCCGCAGTTTTCTCCTTCTCCTCCTCCTCCAGAGACCCTCTCGACTTTCTGCTTCCTCTTTGTTTCGTTCTGCGTCGCCTCCCCCTTTTTAAAAACCCTAGACCTCTCAACCCTCCCCCTCCACCTCCTCCTCCTACAAATTAGGGAAGGCGGATTACGTCGCAAACCCACATGACAGATAGCAGCTAATCAAACTTCAAACAGATGATTAGAGGGTTCAAACACATTTTTAAGTTTGTCTACTGAAATTACTATTAAACCCTTATTCCAGCTCGCTCGGTCGCCTCATTAGGAAGGTCTTTATGGTCATTTAACTCGCTGTAAACCACGAAACGACGACGTAGGCTGCTCCGCGTTTTGGGAAATGGAAAGAGAAGAAGATCGATCTTGTTGGGTTGTTCCACGAGCGTTGCCTTCCTCAGCAAGCAAACAACAACTAGCTCCCCTTTTTGGTTGAGATTTTGTTTTCTCATTCCCATTTTTTGGACTAAAGTGTGTTCGAGAGGCTTTTGGTTCATATTTTACTTTCTCATCCGATTATTCGGACTAAAGTGTTTTCAAAAGGACCTACAAACAGAGGCGAGCAAGAGAAGAATCCACATCCAGCACCATACCAATTGTGCTTTGGTGGTAGAATGAATCTGCAACGGAAAATTCTATTGATTTTAAGGACTCACCTCCTCAATACCGCCGAGGTCGGGACAAGGTCAGTTAGTTGCCGATTCCCTTGTGCTACAATCGGAAGGTATTTTGCCGTTCGATGAAGACCGCAGAAGTGGGTGTCTCTTCCAACGGAACCCTAATTTCCAACAATCCCATTTCAGCTATGTTCTCCTTCCCATAGATTCACACTGAAAAAGCTTCAAACTTTACACAATCACATTAAAAAAAATGAGAACTTATTTCTTCAAAACCAGATAAAATATCAGCGGTTATCGAGAGAGATGTGAAGAAAAATCCTTTAAGATTTTCGTCAGAGAGGGATGAACCCTTTTTTTTCCTTGCGGGAGCTGCTGGCGTGTGGACTATATCGGCATCGGAGGTGGAACGCGACAAAAGTTGGCATCGAGTTGTGATGGTCAGTGGTCCACGGATAAGAAGTGCGGGCCTTTTTTTCCCTTTTTAAATTAATTTTTTGTAATTATAATTTTATTTTATTTGTCACGTCATCACTTAACAGTAAAATTAACAGGTTACATTACGGATATCTAGAATTAAAATAAAAGATAAATCAATGTATGAGATTGATATATTTTATAAATATTGTACGATGCTGCAATTGCATTGCATCCAAACCTTTAAAAGAATTCAACAAGAAATATGTGATGTGAAAATTACATCACTTTATTTAGAAAATACACGAGACATGTCAAAACGCATTGACAGGTTGTGGCAACAGATTTGTAAATATATGGGGTCGAGGAAAGCCGGAGCCACAATGGAAGAGCACGAAGAGGAAGGAAGAATACCATGGAGGTGGAAGATGGGAGAGGGACAAATCAGAGATGAATAACGGAAAAACGCAAGAAAATAACAATCGGAAAAGGAAAAGAAAGCACGGGTAGACGATAACCACCGACCCCGGCCTAAGCTAGGGTTGGCGACAGAAAAGGAATGATTAATTGGGAAGCTACCTCACACGCAGGTGAAAAGAAACTCTCACAAAAAGGAGAGAAGACCTCCCACGAAGGAAAGAATTAGGAAAAATTAGTATCCGGTCCCTAGTTCTTACTGTTCATTGACTAAGACCTTATTAGTTCTCAAATTTTGATTCAAGTCCCTAGCATTAACGTGATAATGAATTTACATGTTTATTATATAATTTTTTAATATAAAAATTAGTAATTAATTTAGGGTTTAATACTCACACCTCTATTAAACTTCTAATTAATTTTCAATTCAAACATTTCCAAAATAATAATAAATTAAATTAAATTAAGTTTGTACCTATTAGTTTTTTTTTATATATATAAAAAGATTCTCAATTTTTAATCTTAAATGTACCCATTCATATAATTTTTCAATTTTTTTTAATCTTAAATGTACACATTCTCAAATATATCAATTTGTTATATTTAAAATGTACCTTTTTTTTAATATAAAATCCTTTCAAATTTTTTAATCCATGTTTAAACTTATATGGGTACATTCTTTTTCGTTGATTTGAGAATGTATCCATGTTTTGGTACAATAACTTTTTTTGTTAATTTTGGTTAATGTACCCATACATATATGTATATACACACACACAATATAATAGAGAGTATAATTTATATTTTATTATTTTTAATCTCATAAATTATGGGTTTTATTTAAAATCTCATTAATATAAACAATTACAAATTTCAATTTTTAATTTTTAATTTAAAAAATATAGTAACTTACATTATTACATTAATGTCAGGGACCTCAATCAAAAACTAAAAACTAACAAGGTTTCAATCAAAGAATATTGATAGTTAGGGACCGCATCCAAAGTGTCCCAAAGAATTATTAATTGCCTTATCTTTTGGCATCTAAATTGCAATACTATTTGGCACGTCGACGAGATTGACGTGTAAACAAATTCCATAGAGGTCCGTCTATAAGATCAACTTCATCCCTAAAAAATACTCCGGTACCTAGCCTATTTAATTCACTCAATGAATAATGATTTATCCCAATAAACAGTAATTGGTCTGTATCTCCACCTCTGAAAAATGTGCTGGCACAAAGTCTAAAAAATAGGCTTGCACAAATGCATCTCCACCCCTACAAAATGCGATAGCACCTAGCATATTTAAAATATTATTAATTTTTTTATAAAATAATAAAAAAAATTAGTTTTAATTTCGGATATGATTTTTAACCAATTTTGTCACGCCACGTGTCATTATCCGAAAGTACAATTTTGTGAATAGATTTCCGATAAGATTTTTAACCAATTTCGACGCGTCACATGTCACTACCTGTTTACAATAATTTAGCTAAGATTTTGATAAGATTTTCAACCAATCTTGTCACGCCACGTGTCATTATCTGAACGTACTATTTTGTTAATAGATTTCCGATAAGATTTTCAACCAATCCCGCATGTCACTATCTCTTTACAATAATTTGATCAAAAATTTGATAAAATTTCTAACCAATCACGTAGTGCCACGTGACATTGTCCAAAATCTCAACCTTTTTTTGTCCATATAAACCTTATATCCATCCTCATTCGTATATCAAACTTAGTTCTTCTTTTATCGTTTTTAAATCTTACAATAAACCGATGAGCAGCAGAAAAAATTGTTGGCACAATTGAAAGAACTGTTCAATCTGAAGGAATGTAAAGATGAGGCTTTGGCAATGAAGGGGGTGAGGATGATGATTATGACCTTCTTTCTTCAATAATTCGCTCTCCGAATGCAATCAAAGAGGGCCAAAACCTAAATTGGGGTTCCAATTTGGGTAAATTGATTGAATTGGCCCTCCTTGTTTTCCCAGCTTTCGGTCAATCAATCCTTACCCTAAATTTTTATGTTTGATGCTGTCAGTTAATTTCTGGTTTGAAAATTCGGCATGCGGTTTTGATTTTTGTTGTTTGAAAACTGGCAGTGAACAGTCAAATTGGGAGTTTCTCCATGGCCAACAGCTCCCCTAGTAACGAATTTCCCCAGGGTTTGTATTTATCTCCTTCTCTCTCTCTCTTGGGGTGCGCTAATTATATACTTTATGCAGTTCCCAATTTGCCTATGTTAGTATTTGGTCTGTGAAGATTAGGTCGAAATTTCATAGATTATGGTTTGTTTTGGAAAAAATTTATTTGTTTTCTAATATGTTTTGTTTCAAATCTGTCACGCTTTCAAAGTGGCGCAAGCAGAAGAGAACAATGCCCCTCGGAAACAAGTGATCATTTCACTCGATGAGATAGTTGTGATGGAATCTCCAAGGAGGGTTGACATTCCCGACAACATAGAGAAGAAGTCTGTTCTTCAGCTTTAAAATCTTGGTTTGTAAACTTTGTATTGCTACAAACCAGTTCATTTATGCTTTTGATATGTTTTCAGAAATTCGTCAGCAACAAGGAAGAGGAAAAGACAAGTGTGTAGTAAGATCACAAAACCCATTACAGTTTTAGACCCTTGGAATAACGGGCTGGTAAGAACTTCACCGACTCATATATGTTTATGTCCTATGTATTCTGTGGATACATGTACTCGTGGACAAGGTTGTGAGGACTGACCTTAATACTAAGGATGGGATGTGGTTAGTTGTCAATTCCCTTGTGCTTTACTTATCTTGATTTTTATTTGCTACGGTGGAATCTGATTGGTATTTGTCTGTTTTATGCTTATGATAGATGCCTGGCATTTGAGGAAGACCTGCGCAATTTTAATACCTGTAAGAATTTAACTGCATTCAGATATGTTTACTTTGTATGCATTCAGTAGATGGATGTACTCTGTTCTAATTTGAGCCTGCATGTTGGTGGCTGTCGAGAAGGACGCTAGGAGTGATATTCCTGAAATTGACAGGAAGAAGTGAGTTTTGAATTCCCTTGTGCTCTAGTTATCTTGACTTGTATTGCTGCAAGAGTATAGGACTGTTTCCATTCCCTTTATGCTTTTGACATATTTCATGATATGGGTCACGGAAAAAATAGGAAATGAAAAGCTAGAATTTTGTTGAAATTATTCCCAATACCTGTTATGTTATTATTGTGAGAGTTTTAAATCTACATGCAAAGACTATACGCACACAGATACGAAGTACTGTTATGAATTGATCGCTAAGAGTTTAATGAGCGGTTAGGAATACTCTTGATTAACAATGTTTGCAAGAATTGGTTACCAAATTAGGGATAGCTTCCTACCATAAATATAGTCCATAGAATTTTCATACTGAAAGGAAAATGTATCGATTGCTGCATAGGTAAATTGAAAGTTCATTTGTGTTCATAGCTTGTCACAAATGAAAGGGGTTTTTACATAGCAGCATTGCCTATCTTGGTTTTGACTGCAGATACCATGTCCCTGGTAAAATGACTCTTGGAGAATTCATCTTATTTATTCGGGTTAGCATCAGGATAAGCCAAAAAAAGCCAATATTTGTCTCTTTCAAGAACACTAAGCCTCCCCTTGGTGAGTGGCAGCTCATTTTTTCTTTTATGCATCATATGTTGTTCCAAAAGTTCCAAAAGTTAAGATTGTAATCAATTATGCAATGTTACAGGTGCTTTGTTTTATGAAATTGATGAGCAAAATAAGGGCGAAGATGGATTTCTGCACATTACGTACGGTGGGGAAGAGAATGTTTGTGGATCAAATGAAGAGCAAGAACATGGGGATAAAATATCTTTCGAGAATGAATATTCTCAAGGTACGTTTTTTCTATCTGTTTCTGGGGATTAATTATACAGTTTTCTTTCTCCACTAACATCTCATACAGTTACTTCTTCATCTATCTAATCTAGATATCTGATACGCATCTATAAATTGCAGGTGATTGTGTGGAGGAAGACAAACTTGTTGCCAATATGCTTTAACTATATTGATTAAGTAGTTCGGAGAAGACATGCATTACAATTTAGGTCAGGCCATTTGGTTTGTTAACTCCTAGAATTGGACTTGGAGGAAAGTTAGAAAAACAAAAGTTAGCATCCGCACTCACTACTCAGCACCTCACTTGGCATCTCACTCAGCACTAGCAAAATATGTCAATGATGGAACAAGCGAAGGAATCTAGATATATATGCCATGGTAACATACTCCAGGACCCACCCAAAAGTAAACATATCACGAGCAGGGTATATGCACATATACTCACGAGTCCAAGGCAGCTCAGCTCTAACATCCGAAACACCTCACTCCAACTCTGCAACAGAACTTGCCATAAAGGCCGATCCAATATGCAACCAGGTGCTATCTTCTCTGATTTCAATCACATTTAGCTCTTCCAATCTCATCACCTCCTCTTGCAATAAGCTTAAGAGTTTAAAATATATTCACAACAAACCAACTACACAAATCAAACAAATATAACACAAGATAAATACTTACATCATACTGATCACCAACGTACACCGCTCTCAGCATGTCCACAAACCACTCCAATTGCAACCCCATGGCCTCGTCTATCTCGTAATAGGTACCCCACCGTGGTCAAAAGAAGATGAATGTGTGGCCATTTGGCTTACCATATCGTGCGAGTCCCAACCTCGGCAGAACGTGCTAGACCAACTCCTGAACGCTCATGTGCTCTTCCAAGTGGTCAATGCACCCCATAAAGTGCTTGTGTCCATCGAATGTCAATCGAAACAGCAAAACCTCAATGTCTTGTACAATAATTTTATTATTAGTTATTGTTTTTTTTAATAATTTAGGGCATAAATTTATGCACATTTCTTTTCACCACATTTTAGCCGACAATTCTTTGGACATGTTTTTCCTTTAATCATCGGATTAATGGAAAAAAAAAATCAAGAATAGCTGGCCAAAATGTGGTGTAAATAATGTGCATAAATTTTTGCCCTGAATTATTAGAAAAACAATAGTTGATAATAAAATTATTGTACAGTACATTGAGGTTTTGCTGTTTCGATTGACATTCAATGGATACAAGCACTTTATGGGGAGCATTGACCACTTGAAGGAGCACGGGAGCGTTCAGGAGTTGGTTCAGCACGTTTTGCCGAGGTTGAGACTCGCACGGTATGGTAGGCCATATGACCACACATTTATCTTCTCTGACCACGGTGTGGTACCTATTACGAGATAGACAAGGCCATGGGATTGCAATGGGAACAATTTGTGGACATGCTAAAAGCGGTGTACGTTAGTGATCAGTATGATTATTTATCTTGTGTTATATTTGTTTTTATTTGTGTAGTTGGTTTGTTGTGAATATGTTTTAAAACTATTAAGCTTATTGTAGGACGAAGTGATGAGACTGAAAGAGCTAAATGTGGTTGATAACACTTGGTTGCATATTGGAGTTAGATGCTTTGGATGTTAGAGCTGAGTTGCCTTGGACTCGTGAGTATGGGTGCATATACATGGCTCCTTATATGTTTCCTTTTGGGTGGACTGGAGAGGTACGGGCCAGAGCATCCTAGGGGTGGGTCCTAGAGTATGTAACCATGGCATATATATCTAGATTCCTTCTTGTGAGATGCTGACATTTGTCTTTCTGACTTTCATGTCTAACAAACCAAATGGACTGACCTAAATTGTAATGCATGTCTTCTCCGAACTACTTAATCAATATAGTTTACAGCATATTGGCAACAAGCTTGTCTCCTCCTCACAATCACCTGCAATTTCGAGATGCATATCGGATATCTAGATTAGATAGATGAAGAATAAACTGTATAGATCTGGTTACAAGCATATAATACATTTGTAAGTCATGGGACCAAGTTAGTAGTGGGTATTAAAACTTAAAAAGGATATATATTAGCAGAGGAGGGAGCCAAAACAAGTAGTAGTGATAAGTTGATAGGTACATACATGGGTACCGGTGCTGCCCACCTGGAATCCGGAGCGGCGGATGTGGACTTCGTCCTCCCCATCAAGGCCATTCAGGGATCCTGGGAATAAAGAACCAGAAACCTCATCAGATCATTACCCCCCTCCTGATGGGTCCTTCCCCAACCCGTCGCCTTAAACCCAATCTCATGGATCCCCACCTTCTAAATCCGACGATAATAGATGAGAGAGAGATATGAGCGGCGATCTTTGTACAAGCTTCTGAAATATGGAATTCAACGTAGCTCAAATATGTTACAAAATCGAAAAAATAGAACTTTCTGGCCAAAACAAAAAATATGGTACAAAGCCCAACTCACTCCTCTCACCTTTCTCGCATCCCCTTGTTCGAAATCAGAGGTCTAGGTCAACTCAAAACTCAGCTCTCTTCTCACCTTTTTTTTAGACTTCCCTCACTTCAAAAGTTGAGCTCAACACAGAAATGTAGAGCTCACAGAGCTCTCTTGACATCCCTCCTTTCCAAATGAGAAAAAGTAATGCAATGAGCTGATGATTTTTAGTATTTATATGTGGGTATTTTAGTAATTTTGATTTTGTGCATGGCTTGTGCGTGGCTAACTTATCCTATTTCTGTCCCAAGATTAAGAAAATGTCCTCTTTCTAGTTATTTCCCTAAATTCTTTGTGTGAGATGTATTTAATAATGTGTGAGAGCGAATAAAACAACTCTTTACTAGTTTCAAAAGCTATTTTATCTTCTCGTTCTCCAACAATAATAAGATATGAAAAATGTAGACTCATCTTGGTCTCGAGTGGATTTTCCATTCAATCAATGTTTTAACTTTTAACGGTCTTACTCAAGTAACCAGAGTATCTCCACTGCAAAGACTCAAATTCTAGAACCTATATTTTCATATTTCTGTCTCAATTTATGTATTTTGGTTTTCTTCTCCAATGCAAAGGCTCAAAATCTTAAGACTTATTTTGAGTTTTAAGATTTGAGTCTTTGAATTGGTGGAGAAAACATCAGACTGAAAACTCAAATTGAATTTTAACAGTTTGGGCATGTGCATTGGAGATAATTGAACTCAAATCCCTCTCTTCTTTTTTTTTTTTTTTTTTTTTCTAATTAATTAGTATGGGTTCCACCTTTTGGACTCAATACAATGACCTAGAAGGGCTTAAAAACTTTTTAATTTTGTAGAAAGACTTGGGGACTCTTTTGTCACCTCATTGTTTATTGTCAATTCATGTGTATTCATAATTTTTAATCTTTTATCTGTACTCTAATTTATTTCTAATGTACCCATTATTCTTTATTAATGTACCACTTTGTTATATGTGAAATGTACCAATTTTTTTAACACTATGGATACATTCTTTTGCCATTTATTATTTCTTATTTTTATATAGTTTTTATCCATTTATTCAATCAAAATATTTGAATTTTTTTATTGTAACCGTTTCTAATAATATTATAATGAGGGATTTTAAATTTATAGGATTATAAATCTCATAAAATATCAAACAATTAATGTCAAAACTATAAAAATATAAATATTAATAGTAATATAATGAAGTGTACAAAGTCAAGGGACCTTGATCAAACTTTGAATACTATTAAGGTTTTAATCAAAGAATGTTAAGGATTAGGGACCGCATCCAAAATATCCCTATAAAAAAACATAAGTTGTCAAAGAGTCTATAAGAATAGAATGATAATGGCATCATTGGTCCATTTGTGCAGCTCAATCTGAGAAACTTTGAGTGTATGACCAGACTTATAAGGTATTCGTATTTCGATGCGAATTAGTGAGTATTGTGCATCTCATAATCACGTTATTAGTACCAATGAGTGAGTGTTGTACTTGTTTTTTTTTTTTTTTTTTTAGTGCATGTTTTTTGTCAAAATATTTTTCAACAAAAGACTGGATGATTTCACAATGTATTAGTAAAACTAAAGTGCGTTATCCTAATTTAATCATCACAACCACACGAACTGTTGTTCATGGTAAGTAAACATACCCTTATCATTATTACGTAATTGTTGTTCATCAATTATCTACAAGTAGTTGTATCATGTCCCGATCCCGACATAAGTTCAGGATCGACACGTGACGCTACAAAATACTCGTATCACTCACATACCCCGCATCCGGGATATGGACAATGCACAACTCAAGATTCGAATTTCGTGATAATTTTTCTTATACTTTATGGTTGCATCTAACCTCCTCGTTAGACTGCCTACGTACCCTCAATAGGGATTAAGTCATTCGTAGTTCAACTTCGCTATAACTCGACATATAACATAGTCTGTTCAAGCCAAAATGCATAACATTCCTCAATCAAACATTTGGACTTGACAAGCATGAATTATTCGATTCAAACTACATAACAACCCGCATGACAATCAAGGTTTCTATTTCATCCATCATATAAATCATTATGTTTCAACATAAAATCGCTATTCATATCATGTAATATATCAAAGAATCAACACAACACAATAGTATCCTATAGTCGCATTAATCACTGATCTGATCATATTAATAACAATCATATTCAACATCCTTCCACAATCATCTCAAGTAACCCATTCCATGATATCAAGGAGGCACGATATTAACATTTAATTATGTTAATTAGTCAATCAGATCACACCTCAATGCACAAAATTAATAAAGGACTTCTACATAGTTCCCTGCCTGGATTTCAAGTAATAACTTGATAATTCTAAATTATATTCACAAGATCTATTGTGGGTACATCCCATTCAATCGAATCCAAGGAACAAGTCTAACTTATGGAAATGAGCAAGAGTAGGGATAACAGACCACTCAACGTAATCCAAATTAGGATACGATTTCAGACCATCACTCAACGGAATCGCGGAGTAGGAGGGATTCCAGACCGTCTCTCAACGGAATCCAAGTGGATACGATTCCGGACCATCACTCAACGGAATCGCGATCACTCAACGGAATCGCGGAGTAGGAGGGATTCCAGACCATCTCTCAACGAAATCCAAGTGGATACGATTCCGGGCCATCACTCAACGGAATCGCGGAGTACAATGCATAACAACCACTAAATGAAACCTAAGTTGGATACGATTTCGGACCATCACTCAACGGAATTGCAGAATATAAAGGATTCCGGACCACCACTCAACGGAATCCAAACAAGCATATGATTCCCCCATCAAATGTACCAAGTACAACTAATCCTCCTCACTTCTAGAATGCATATGGTCCCCCAACACGGATATACCAAGCAAGACCATTAGTGACCTCCCAACGCGGATTAACCAAGCAGGGTCAAGATAACCAAGTAGGTAGTGATTTCCCAACACTGATTAACCAAGCAGAGTCATACCTACAGAACTGTTAGGCCTTATACATAATTATACACATACATGTTATCGATTCTGCATATCAACCAGCATCTAGTCATATGGAGCACAACACAATGAATTCCCTCAATTACTAATTCTACTAAAAATCTAATTAAGTACCTAACTCATCTCCTGACTTTCATCTCCATCTCATGCTAGGTAATAGTGCCAAGTTCAAATAAGTATTCAGTTGGCAATCATATCCAAATAATTATCAAACAATATTTAGATCCCATAATTGTCATAACATTCTTCATAATTATCATTCACATTATTAAAAGTTAATTAAACACATATCTATCACAAACATCATCAATACACAAGCCAAATCATATTTAATTAGCATAGATCTATGGCTAAATATATAAAAATCACATTTCAATAGAAATCATATTTATAAGACCAATTCATATTCACAAATGATACTAATAATAGAAATTAAGATAATAATCTTATTTCATATATTCAAATCGCTATCTAACCAATGTAGGCCCACTAGACTTCACTTAGTCCCCCGTAGTACTAATTTTAGTAATTAGGACGTTTCAAGACATGTTAATCAAAAGTCAACTTTTGGTCAAAGGTAGGGTCCACAATTCTACACAATTCAATCCGGAAGATCCACATCTTGGATTTCGGATCCATAACTTTCTAAAGTCCACATTATGCTCAAATAACAACATACTAAAATCTCAACACTATCCGACGGTCAGATCTCCGCCAAGTTCAAAATTCAAGTGGCGGTCGACATTTAATTTTACAAACTTAGAAATTCAATTAGGGAAGATCCGTACGTCGGATTCTCTATCCATAAGTTTCTATGATCCACAAATATTATGTTCTATCACGCATTAAGGTTTAGTGACGATCCAACGGTCGGATCGTCGAATCATATTTTTTGACCTAACCACGTATCGTAATGAAATTAGGTTCAAACAATCAAACCATATCATAAGGATATCAATTATGAAATCAGGGCATCTAATTGAACTTAAAAGGACATCGTCGGCCCACTGGCCAGGCCGTCGCCACATGCGTCGCCGCGGGTGGCTGTCCGCCGCCCCGACTTGCCGGAAAATTCAACTATTTTTAAAAATTACCAAAAATTATAGAAATGAAGATCTCAAAGAGTAGGACAAACTTTATACCTGTGGCCAAGTCTAATTTGACCGGAAAACACTTCAATTTCACTCAAACCCGCCGAAACCCTGAAAAATGGTGTGCTTTGATTCGACTTCCAATCGAACTCCGACACCTCCAACAATGTTTGGGATTTGTTCCTGGGGTTGAGGGAAGTCTTTTGGTGGTGGTCATGGATGGTGAAACTTGCCGGAGCCACCGGGAAAAGGGATAAAGCCACCGAAACACCCGTGGGTTTGTGGCTTTGAACTGGAAAAATGGAAACGAAATTGGGAAATCTAACACTACCAGGATGTAGGGCTCATCAAGGGCTTTCCATGGACACCAAGATCACCCAAAACGGAGTTCATATGAAGAAGATATGGCCAGGTAAAAAAACATGGTTCGCGGGTCAAAAAAATGACCCATTTCGGGTCCCTCCTTTCCCCTCCTTCTCCATCTCCTGATTGGGCAGCTCCTAACCTTTTTAAAAATCTGATTGGTTCCCTCCCTGTTCTAACTGATTGGTCCCTTAACCCAAATATCTGATTGGGCCTCTTTCCCATAAAGTGGGAGTCTAAATAATTCCTAAAATCTATAGTATCCCAACTTCAAACGCCCGTAACTATACCGTTATAACCCGGACTCACAAACGACTTTTGCCTATGCGTTCGTGATCTCGCAATCTAATCAACAATATAAATTATGACCTCGAATGGTCTACGGATTTTAAATAATTAATTTCCCGAAAATAATATAAAAACTCAATAATACCAATACTTAGATTATAATGATGAAATCCAAAAACGGGATTTCACAAGTTGGGTCCTGATACATTGACGAACCGCACCGGGAACTCTAATGGTAAGTCCTCTTTTTTTAATAATAGTATAGATGAGGTTATGAACGGAGGCTTCATATGCTCACTAGGAACAGCTGCCCCTACTCAATTCTTTTTACACAAAAAATGCTCCAACTAAAACTATAATTTACTTATATATATTCATAAATGAAGTATGAGTCCAAACACTCAACTCAAAATACCCTCTCACGTTTTATACTTTTTTTACCCACTCACTCTTCCGAGACATATAATTTTTCCATTAGCCAATTATTGGTTTACAATTTTACTATTTTAAGCACTAGTTACTCAAAATGATGTTGTTGGACAATAAGTAAACGAATTATATCAAATCTTGATTTAATTTCATCACTCGATG